AGGAACGTGGCCTCAGTCACATGCCTGTGGGGACAGACCTGTGAAGTAGGTGGAATGTGTGCCCCCTTACCCCAGTGCCATCCTTGGGCAGTGGGGGATCTGCACAGCTGGTTCTTTGTTTTGTTGTTTTGTTTTGTTTTGTTTTTTGCTTTTCTTGAGAGGGAGTCTCGCTCTGTCACCCAGGCTGGAATGCAGTGGTGTGATCTCGGCTCACTGCAACCTCTGTCTGCCTCCTGGATTCAAGTGATTCTCCTGCCTCAGTCTCCTGAGTAGCTGGGATTACAGGTGCGTGCCACCACACCCGGCTAATTTTTTTTTTTTTTTTGAGATGAAGTCTCACTCTGTCACCCAGGCTGGGGCAGTGGTGCGATCTCTGCTCACTGCAGCCCCTGCCTCCCGGGTTCAAGCAATTCTCCTGCCTCAGCCTCCTGAGTAGCTGGGACTACAGGCACATACACCGTGCCCAGCTAATTTTTGTATTTTTAGTAGAGACAGGGTTTCACTATGTTGGCCAAGCTGGTCTCTAACTCCTGACCTCACGATCCGCCCTTCTCAGCCCCCAGAGTGCTGAGATTACAGGTGTGAGCCACTGCACCCGGCCTGAACACTGTTATTATCTCAGTTTTCATAGCAGGAAAACAAGGCCAGAAATGCCAGGATCAAGGAGTGAGAAAATTAGGAAGCAGTGGTGACTGGATGTTAGCCCTGACATCTGACTCCAGAGACAGCTCTTAACCCTGTCCCCGGACAGCCTCCCCAGGCACGGAAGTGCAGAGATAGCCGGTCCTGGTGTTCAGTGCTGTCCCCAGGCTGGGTATCCCACTCTCGGAGGTGAGATGGGGGTGCTGTGACCTGCTTCTCAGGGCGAGAGGGTCAGGGAGGGGCCCGCCCAGGTGGTGCTCAGTGAGCATGCTTTCCCGTCTCAGAGGGACTGTGCTGCCCGCCGGTCTCCCTGGCCTGACACTGCGCATGTGTCTGTGACAGGTAGATAGAAAGCATTGCCGGCCGGGCGCGGTGGCTCGCGACTGTAATCCCAGCATTGCAGGAGGCAGAGATGGGAGGATCACTTGAGCTCAGGAGTTCGAGACCAACCTGGGCGACATGGCGAGACCATTTTTTAAATTTTTAAAAAAAGCATTGTTGTGGGCATCTTCTCATCTGATCACTGGATATTAGAACCAGAGAGGCCTTTAGAGATCACCCGGTCCTGCCGCTTCCCACATGGGGAAACTGAGGCTCAGAGACGACAGGTGGCTGAGTCACAGACTGAGCCACGTGGCAGAGCTGGGACTAGAATGTGGGGTCCTGTTGACCCGTCCAGGATGGCCAAGCACTTCCCATGTGCTAGATGATGGATGGGCAGAGGAGGGCATGGGTGGGCTGGTACCCTGAGGCCTGCTCTGCCCTTCCTACGTGTGTGAGCTGGGGTCCCTCATGGCACCTGTCTGAGCCTCAGTTCCCTCATTCATGAGGGAGATTATAATCCACAACTCTTGGGGTTTGAGGGGGTTAGCATGGTCCTAGGGTGTAGTTAGTGGTTAATAAAGGAAAATTGGAAAATTGTCATTAGTATGATTTGTTGGGAGGAGCCTTTATTTTTTTTGGATGGGGGTCTTGTTCTGTTGTCCAGGCCAAAGTACAATGGCTCCATCTCAGCTCTCTGCAGCCTCTGCCTCCTGGGCTCAAGCCATCCTCCCACCTCACTTCCTGAGTAGCTGGGACTACAGGCATGCTCCACCACGCTCAGCTAATTTTTGCATTTTTTGTGCAGATGCGGTTTCCCTCAGGCTGGTCTCGAACTCCTGGACTCAAGCAATCCACCCGTCTCGGCCTCCCAAAGTGCTGGGATTAAGGAGGAGACATTCATTATGTGATTAGGAGTGGGGACCCTAGAGGCCTGAGACCTGGATTCCAAGCCCAACTGGGCTCCTTCCTAGCAGTGTGACCTTGGCTCAGTCACTTTGTTTCTGGAACCTCAGTGCCCCCATCTAAAAACGCATAACAGGCCCTACTCGACAGGTTGTCCTGGGGATTAAATGAGATGATGCATATAGAGCTTTCAGCTTAGTGCCAGCACATAGTAGGCATTCAATAAACCACTAGCCCTAATAATAGGTAACATTTATTGAGCACTTACTTAATGCCAGACATTATCAGCGTCTTTTTCACCATTTGCATTAGCTAACTTCTCTGTACCACTTCCTGAGCAAGCAGCCATTGCCTCATATTACACTACTACAGTGGAAGTAGAGGCCTAGAGACGGGAAGTGACTTGCCCAAGGTCACACAGGCAGCTTCTCAATGCCTGTGTGGTTTTGTCCAGCTAAGTAGGCTGCAGAGCCACCGTTCTGTTCTAGTCTGTCAGAGAACCACCCTCCCCGTCCCCTCCCTTCCCCATTACTCTCCAGCGCCAGCAGCTTCTTGGAGCTTCATGCTTTCTGAATGGCTTGGTTTAGCACTCGGCCGTTAAACGTTCATCTCTTACAATTTCAATCCAATTCCTATAAGTTTATTGGCAAGACGGGGTGTATTAGAGCTGCCAAATTTAATATATCAAGTGTGCGTGTCTGGGACACGGTCTCTCTGCAGTAATGGGAGAAGAGAGGTTTTATATGTTTTCATTTTGAATGACTGGCTATTCCTGATCCCATTACAGCCCCTGACTTAATGGTTGCTGTCCCTGTCTGCTGCAAGAGTGGCTTTCTCCATCAACCTGCTTGGCTGCTGGGACTGTCTCTGCGTCTCTCCGTAGTCTCCTCCTCCTGAGCTGTGTTCCCCCATCAGTCCACTGTGGTGATCAGGTCCTGGGAGTCTGGGGCTTTGGCTGCTAGCCCCGATAGCTACCTTGTGACCTGGGGGAGATCATTTCTCTTCCTCACCTGGGCCTCAGGAACCTGTTCTGTGAAGTGAGGGGTCTGACCACTGGGTGAGCAGTTGGTCTGGGCTCAGCCTTGGCAGATCCCCCTTGGCAGCCCCAAGTGGACCCGTCTGTCCTCCTGTCTTGCGGCACCAAACTCACGGACCCAAGGGCTGGCCGCGAGAGTCATTGAATTGCCACCCACCTTGGGCTGCAGATCTCCTGGGTCAGGAGTGGCTGTGATCACCACGGCTGAGGGGTCTTAAGACCCCAAAATGTTTTCATTTCCCCCTGTGACTGGATTCGGATCTGCCACCTGATAATTTAGCGATCTCCTTGGGAAGCTGTCAGCATTCACTGCGTGAGCCCTCTGGCTTCTCTAAGCTTTGAACTGGCTGTGGAAGAGAGGACACCCGGCAGTGTGACGTTAGGAGACTTGGTTTGCCTTCTGCTTATCAGGAGGAATCACACCGCCTCCCTGAACCTCAGTTTTCCCAAAGGGAAAACAGGAATTGATTCATTTAACAAGTACTTCAATGCCTAGTCTGTAGTGTGCACTATTTTAGGTGCTGGGGCTCCAGCAGTAAACAAAACACAAACCTGCCCTCATGGGTTTATATTCTTACTGGGGGAGAAAGACAATAAACATAACAAGTAACTTATTGCATGAAGGGTGTATTAGTCCCTTCCCACATTGCTATAAGGAAATACCGGAGACTAGGTAATTTACAAAGGAAAGAGGTTTAAGTGACTCACAGTTCCGCATGGCTGGGAAGGCCTCAGGAAACTTATAATCATGGCAGGAGGGAAAGGGGAGACAGGCACCTTCTTCACAAGGCAGCAGGAGAGAGAAGTGCTGAGCAAAGCGGGAAGAGCCCCTTATAAAAGCAGCAGATCCTGTGAGAACTCTTCACTGTCACGAGAACAGCATGGGGGAAACCACCCCCATGTCAGTTACCTCCACCTGGTCTCTCCCTTGACACGTGGGGATTATTGGGATTACAATTCAAGATGAGATTTGGGTGGGGATACAAAGCCTAACGGTATCAAAGGGTGATACATGCTATGAGGGAAAATAAAGCAGAGAGTGGAGGAAGTTAAGTGGAAGATTCTGCCATCTTGAATGAAGTAGCATAGGAGGAAAGATGGAAGGGGTCAAGAGGGGGAAGTGAGGCGGGTGTTTGCAGGAGGGCACACCCATCCTTGGGGAGCCTCGGGTGCAAAGGCCAGGAGGTGGCCATGTGCCTGGCATGTGTGAGGAGCAAAGGGGAGGCTGATGTGTCCTCTATGTTGCAAATGTGGAGGTCAGAGGTACGGTAGGGGGTGGGGTGGTGGCTCACACCTGTAATCCCAGCACTTTGGGAGGCCAAGGCGGGAGGACACTTGAGCCCAGGAGACCAGCCTCTGCAACATACCGGGACCCCATCTCTACAAAAAAATTGTTTTTTTAAGTTAGGCATGATGACACGCACCTGTAGTCCCAGCTACTCGAGAGGCTGAGGCAGGAGGATCACTTGAGCCCAGAAGGTTAAAGCTACAGTAAGCCGTGGTCGCACCACTGCACTCCACCCTGGGTGACAGAGCGAGACTCTGTCTCAAACATAGAAAACCCTATGTGGTAGGAGACAAGGGAGGCCAGCCACAGGGTGTAAGTGGCAGTCCTTCAGCTTACTTACATGTTAGAATTACGTGATAGACTTTAAACAATACCAAATAGCAGCCAGGCATAGTGGCTTACACCTGTAATCCCAGCAGTTTGAGAGGCTGAGACAGGAAGATTGCTTGAACCCAGGTGGTCGGGGCTGCAGTGAGCTGTGTTTGCACTACTGCACTCCAGCCTGAGTGACAGAGCAAGACCCTCTCAAAAAAACAAAAACAAAAACAAACAAAAACAGTGCCCAGGTCTCACCCACTGAGGTTCTGCTTTAACTGGTCTGAGTTGCAGGCTGGGCATCAGAATGGTTAACAGATCCCTCTGGCATGAGGCCTCTTAGGCCATACTCATCAGCTTGACACTCCTAATGGGGCAGGGTGCATGTGAGTAAAGCCTGGGCTCAGGCCTGGTCCTCAGGAAGGATTCGGGGGACTGGTGAGGGGTGTGTTTTCTCCAGTGGTCTGATCTGAGCTCTTTGTGGCTTCCCAGGCAGCAAACACCTGCTCTGAGTGGCCATGGGGAAGCGATACTTCTGTGACTACTGCGACCGCTCCTTCCAGGACAACCTCCACAACCGCAAGAAGCACCTGAACGGGCTGCAGCACCTCAAGGCCAAGAAGGTCTGGTACGACATGTTCCGAGGTGGGTGCCGCTGGCTGGGGGCCGGGCTCCTGGAGCCCTGCTCTCTGATCTTTCTTATCTTCAAAGACCCCCGTGGGTCAGTGACAGTCTGGGTCTGGGCTCTTTGAGGATCAAAAGAGAGGGAGGCCTGGGCCACTGGACCCTCAAAAGAGCAGGCTGGTAGATGAGCTCTTTCCCCAGCAACCCTGACTGAAGGCTCTGTGCTCCAGGCACCTGCCAGGCTCTGTGGACAGGAAGAAGGCCCTAGAAGGAGGTGATGTTTGAGCCAACAGCTGAAATAGGGGAAAGCCAGCCACGTGGCTCTGGGTGGAGGGTGTGCAGAGAAGCAGGCAGCCCTGACTCCAGCACCAGGGCTCTCGGAGCAGGAGGGAGAGGGTGTGGCTGGGCGGAGCAGGCCAGGGGAGAATGGTAGGGCTCAAGCTGGCTCTGGGACAGGGATCTTCCAAGCCTGTGGAGGCCGTTGTAAGCAGGGGGTGGAGGGGGGGTCCCTGTTCCAAGGGCAGAGAGCAGCCTTTGAAGGGCTTTAGCTGCTGTGCCCAGACCTACCTTGACAGCGCAGACTGCTTCGTGGGGAGCAGTTGGGTGCGGTCAGTGGCAGTTGAATGACTGGCTGCAGGCACGGGTGAATAACCCAGTTGCAGAAGGGGAGCAGGCTCTTCTGAGAAAGGCCTCTCAGCGCAGGAACGGTTGGGGTGAATGAGCTAAGGTCAGAAGTGCCTAGCACAGGGCCTGTTTCCCGGGAGGTGCCCAGAGAAGGGAGTTGTGCTATTGCATGGCTGTCATTGGACGTTCACCCTGAGGAACAGCCAGGGAGGTTCCAGAGCATGACTGGCAGGAGCCAGGTTGAGAGGTGAGGGCACTTAGTGGTGGGGCGAGGGTGGGCCAAGAGCTCCTGGAATGAGCCAGAGTGGGGCCAATGCCCTGTAGGTTGGTGAGCAGGATTCTAGGATAGGGCCTCTGAAGAAGGAACCAAATCCAGCAGCCAAGAAGGGAGGAGAAGTGGAGAGAGAGTTCTCTGGTTGGGGCTAGGTGTGGTGGCTTTCACCTGTAATCCTAGCACTTTAGGACACTGAGGTGGGAGGATTGTTTGAGCCCAGGAGTTCAAGAGCAGCCTGGGCAACACTGTGAGACCCTGTCTCAAAAAAAAGAGGCCTGAAACTGAGAGTTCCCGAACAGGGAATGAGCATGGGTCGAGTGCCTGCTACATGCCGGGTGCTTTGCATAGTTCGCCATTTCCTTTTCTGGGTAACTGTCTAGGGCAGCGATTCTTAACTCTGGCTGCAGGTTAGGATCATCTGGAGACCTTTAGGTTAAAACCACTGATTCCCCGACCCCATCCACTCCCCAGAGATAGGTCTGGGGACTAGACATGGTGTTTCTAAAGGCTTCCCAGACTCTCCGCATTTCACATGAGGGAGCTGAGGCTCAGAGGTTCAAGTGAGGGGGTGGCCAGGCTGCTCAGCAGGCCAGGCGTGGCTGTGGTTGGAAAGCCATAGGAAAATTCATGGGCAGTGGGGTCTCCTAGGTCCCTAGGAGGCCTCTAACCCTGGTGTTACGCTAAGGCTCTCTCTGTTGTGCAGATCCATTGTCCATTGTGGGCTGTGATCTGGAGGGAGCTGGGCCAAGATCACCTAGTCCCAGATTCTCAGCTGTGAACAGCTGGATCCTGGGATCCAGGGCTGATTGGCAGAGGTCCCTGTGTCACTTATAGAAAAGATGAAGCAGCAGGCGACAGGAGTTCCCCAGGGCTCCTGCGTTCTCAGCGTCCTCACATCCCCAACACATTCAGTCCTTAGAACAGCTCTGTAAGAGGCTGGGCAGGCCAGGCCAGGCATCCCCAGTTACAGGTGATGACTTCAAAATCCAGAGCAGGCCAGGTGCAGTGGCTCACACCTGTAATCCCAGCACTTTGGGAGGCTGAGATGGGAGGATCGCTTGAGTCCAGAAGTTCAAGACCAGCCTGGGCAACATAGTGAAACCCCATCTCTACTAAAAATAAAAAAATTTGGCCAGACTCCGTGGCTCACACCTGTAATCCCAGCACTTTGGGAGGCTGAAGTGGGTGGATCACCTGAGGTCAGGTTGGCCTGGCCAACCTGGCAAAACCCTGTCTCTACTAAAAATATAAACATTAGCCGGGTGTGGTGGTAGGTTCCTGTAATCCCAGCTACTTGGGAGGCTAAGGCAGGAGAATTGCTTGAACCTGGGAGGTGGAGCTTGCAGTGAACTGGGATCACATCACTGTACTCCAGCCTGGGCAAGAGAGCAAGACGCCATCTCTAAATAATAAAAAATAAAAACAAAAATAAAAAAATTAGCCAGGCGTGGTGGCCCATTCCTGTGGTCCCAGTTGCTCAGGAGGCTGAGGTAGGAAGATCACTTGACCCCAAGAGGTAGAGGCTGCAGTGAGCCGAGATCGTACCACTGCACTCCAGCCTCGGCAACAGAGTGGGACCCTGTCTCAAAAAAAATAGTAATAAATGAAATAAAACCCAGAGCAGTGGGTTCCCTCGCCTTGAGTCCCCAGCTACTAGGGGCCGAGCTGGCACATGACGTCTTTCCACCTCCTCGGGAGGCTGCCCCAGGGCTTCTGCTCACCCTGAGCAACCGCAGGAACTTGAAGACATGCTGTGTGACTGAACTTGACTTCAGCTCTGCTCCCAGCTTCGCGGCCTGGGGCACATCCCTTAGCCCTCAGAGGGGCTGATGATCTATCTGCCGTGGTCAGGTGCAGGGCACCAGTCCCCAGGTGTCACTCACTAACCCTGTGGCTCTCATTTTGTCATGTGTAAAACAGCTACAACAGTCCCCACCTCCCAGGGCTATGACAGGGGCTCAGTAACCTCCTGATGACCGCATGGCACATAAGGGCTTACTAAGTAGGCGCGGTGCCTGTGGGTCCTCAAAAGGATTCCCTCCAGCCTTCATCTCACGGCTCATTCAGTGTATCCTCGGCTCCCTGCAGGCTCTGAAGATTCAAAGGTGGATAAAATAGGGCCCCTCTCCTTAGCAAGCTTGTGCCTAATGACGATGGTGTGTTCTGGGCAAAGCCCCTGTTCTGCCGGCCTCTCCCAGCTGCAGCCACCCTGGCCACTGCATCTGCTGGGCATAAGCTGTCCCCTCTGCAGACATGCCCTTCCTGCTGTCCTCCCTGCCCCAAGCCAGGCCCCCCCACCTCACAACTCAAGTCAGGCAGCAAATCCTCAGGGACATCCTCCCCGACCCCTAGAACGGGTCAGGTCATTTGGCTACACACTAGATGTTTACCCCGCTTACATCCATGGGGATTAGTGTGACTGTTGGACCAGAAGGAAGGACCAGCTCCGACTTGTTCTCCACTTAAATCCTCAGCCTGGCGTGGTGCCTGGCACACAGGACATGCTCAGTGAATGTTTGGCAGATGAATGTCTAAGTGAATGAGCAAAGAAACATGGGGCACCAGGGGCAGCTGTTAATTCTGGGAGATGAAGCAAGAAGGACCCATAGGGTCAGATCACGAGGGGCCTTGAATACCCATTGCAAGAGCATGGGCTTCCTCGTGCAGGGCCTGGGCCAGGGATTCTCAACCCTGAGTACACTTCAGAGTCACTGAGGAGATTTAAACGATTCTGATGCCCTCCCTTTCAATGAATTAAAGCAGAACCTGGGAGGGCTGGGGCTGGGTGTCCATGTACTTTAAAAACTGCCTGGTGATTCTGATGTGTGGCTGGGGTCGGGAACTACTGAGCAGACGCAGGCAGCCTGGAATACTCCCATGCCAAGCCACCTGGAAGAGCCCCTTGTCCAGGACTCAGGCTCAGCCTTGCTGCCAGCCTCAGCCGTCACAGCCTCAGGGGGGTCCAGGGCAATGTCCACATGCCCTCCACTAGCCTGCCCCCTCAGGGAAGGGCGGGCAGTGGTGTCTGTAGCACCAGCTGGGTGCGCTGAGTCTGACAAGCCCAGCACTGACAGATGGACCCTCCCCACCCTGCTGGTTCCCCTGGCATGAGTTCTCTGATAACCAACCCCCTATCCCAGCAAACCATACCCTCACAGCCACCACCTGCCCTTGGCAAATCACTTCCCCTGTCTGAACCTCCATTTTCCCCTCTGCAAAATCGGGATGTTTGCGCTGTTCAGAGGGTTTGTGAGGAAAAAATGAAGAATTGCTACCATTTGCTGTGTACCCACCCCGTCTTGGCCGCATACCTGGAGAACATGGTGCTAAGGCCACTGCTCGCCCCAGAGGCAGACCTGGTCACTTTCCTAGTGATTCTCTTGTGCCACCAGGGTTGGGAACCATGGGCCTCCTCTGCAGAGCACTCGCCATTCATTATCTGATGACATTTTCATAGCAGCCCTGCCAGGTGGGAACTGTCCTCCCATTTGACATATGGGGAAACTGAGACTTGGAGATTATGCAGCTTGCACGTGATCATATGTTGTTAGGATTAGAGCTCAGGTTTCCTGGACTCTGAAGCCTGTGGTGTTTCCTTGGCCTCTAGAAAAGGTGATGGGTGAATGTCCAGCCCAGGCCTGGCTGCTCCCCTCCCCTGGGGTGGATATAAGGGCTCCTGAGCCAGGGTACCACCCTCAGGTACCCTACTTCCTTACAGATTTTGACTGATTAATAGCTTGCCTATCAAGAAGCAAATTTAAAACCATAACTATATGATGAAAGTAAAGATAGGCTGGGCGTGGTGGCCCATGCCTGTAATCCCAGCACTTTGGGAGGCCAAGTGGGGAGGATCACTTGAGCCCAGGAGCTTGAGACCAGCCTGGGTAACATGGCAAAACCCCATCTCTACAAAAAATAAAAAAATTAGCCGGGCGTGGTGGCGGTCACCTGTAGTCCTAGCTACTTGGGAGGCTGGGAGGGAAGGATCACCTGAGTCCAGGAAGGTCGAGGTTGCAGGGAGCTGAGATTGTGCCGCTGCACTCCAGCCTGGGTGACAGAGTGAGATCTTGTCTCAAAAAAAGAAACGAAAAATAGGAAAAATCAGAGGAAACTAGGGTTAAGGTTAGGATCAGAGTGATTGCCGATGCTACAGAATGACTGTCGGAAGTCCTGTCCAGGGCGGTGACTGGTCTGGCCCTGAGCACCCTACAGCTGGTGGAAGGAGGGAAGACAGAAGCCAGGGATTGCAGTCTTGCCTGTGGAGCAATGCCTGGATCCTGGGATTAGCCGATGGGCTTCCTGGGCACTAGGATTTATTTAAATTTTTTTACCATTTTATTTTGAAATAATCATAGATTCACAGGAAGTTGCAAAGATAATAATGAGACGTTCCATAGGGCCAGGATTTTTTAAAAGTATTATACCTCCAGGCTGGGCCCAGTGGCTCACACCTGTATTCCCAGCACTTTTGGAGGCCAAAATGGGAGGATCATGTGAGCCCAGGAGTTCAAGACCAGCCTGGGCAACATAATGAGACACAGCTCTACAAAAAGATAGAAAATATTAGCCAGGCATGCTGGTGCAGAGCTGTAGTCCTACCTACTTGGGAGGCTGAGACTGGAGAAGGATCGCTTGAGCCCAGGAGGCAATGGCTGCAGTGAGCCATGATTGCACCACTGCACTCCAGCCTGGGTGACCCAGCGAGACCCTGTCTCTAAAAAACAAAAAACCCGAAGTCCCTAGACTCCTCAGGTGACTCCCTCGTGCCAAGTTGAGAACCTCTGACATGAAACCTGGTCCTTGCCTTTGGCCAGTCCTGCGTGGGGTGGGAGGGGTTGAGGTCACCTGCAGCTTGGATCCATCTGCCCAGGACTCCCACTTGTGGTCATCTCTTGCTTCCACTCCTCCGCGGATAGGAAACTCTTCTTTTCTGCGCAGCTGTGTCGGGATAGAGAGTCCATGTCCCTGTGGCTTCCACCTCCCGCCTCCCTTGGTAGAGCCTGAACCGTCTGAATCCTGTCCCTCTCTTCTCTCGCAGATGCAGCTGCCATCTTGCTGGATGAGCAGAACAAGCGGCCCTGCAGGAAGTTTCTACTGACAGGTAAAGTGCTCTGCACAGCTCAGGTGCCTGCGGGGACCTGCGATGTCCAACCTGGCCCACTTGGACCTCTGCAGAGTGTCTTCCCCGACCCGGGCCACCATCCCAAGCCCACTTTGCAGCGGTGGTTCCAGCTGACTGGCCAGTCAGGGCCTTCCCAGGTGTTGTGTCTTAGGACCTCCTAGAGACTGGTCCTCAGCTCTTCAGATCTAGAATGTGATTGTATCAGCTCACCTAGAACAAGCAAGCCGTGGGAGATTACAAGTAAATCCAAGAGACACTTATGGGTGGAATAGACTTGTTGGTTAAGTTAGCCTGGGAGCCTGGCCTCCTTCCCAGCAGGCAGAACTTCAGAGAGTAACAGGGTTGATGATCTGAGGAAGTTCGGGATCAGAACCAAGGATGCTAGGTGTAGATTTGACTGCTCAATACTCAGCTACTAGAGATGCATATAGGTCAGAGAGATAAAGTGCCAAGCATGGTGGCTCACGCTTGTAATCCTAGTACTTGGGAGGCTGAGGTAGGAGGAATGCTTGAGGCCAGAAGTTTGAGACCAGCCTGGGCAACATAGCAAGACCCCATCTCTACCAAAAAGAAATTTTGTTTTAATTAGCTGGGCGTGGAACACACATTGATAGTCCCAGCTACTAGGGAGGTTGAGGCGGGAGAATCTCTTGAGCCCAGGAGTTCAAGGCTGCAGTGAGCTGTGATTGCACCACTGCACTCTCGCCTGGGCAACAGAGTGAGGACCCTGTCTCTTTTAAAAAAAGAGAGAACAAGAGATAAAAACCTCAGTAAGTGAATGAACCAAAGACAGATAAAAATAAGGGTAGGAAAAATAAGATAAAACCAAGAGAATAGTCTCCTCCATGCATGCCCTTGAGGTCCTGTGTATTCTCTAAGGGTTTGACTCTGAGCTTCCTGGCAGCCGTGGCAAAGAGGAAAACTATGATGATTCATATGGTTTGTAAGGGAGCTTAGCACTGGGGAGAGGTGCTTCAGCTGAACTAGGGAAACTGGGTGAATGTCCAAGCTCCCCTAGGATGGGCACCAAGCCTGCAGATCAGGGGCTTCCCCACGGACTTTGCCTTGATGTGAGTATGTCACTGGTAGGTTACACTGGCTTGAGACACCTCCAGCCTCCCAGTATCTCGACATACATTTTGGTCTCCTTGGTTGAGAGAGGGGAAGCCACCCCAGATTTTGGTGCCTCCTTGGCAAGGCTGCCACTGAAGCCTTTCTAAGGAGCAGTCCAACTGCTCCGGTGAGCCAGGTAGGCAGAATACTGGGCTGGGCATAGCACGTGCTGCGGCTTGGAGTGGAGAAAGGAAGCATGGCCCTTTCAGGAACCCATATGTAGTTCACTGAGGCAGGGCTGGGAGGGCTGGTGACAGAGAGGCTGCAGAGGCTTGCGAGGCCCACTCGTGACAGGCTTCAGTTGGAAGTGATCCCCAGCACCGGGGGCAGCTGGAGAAGGGTTGTGAGCATGTGGCATGATGGGTGAGAGGTTGCTCTGACTGCTGAGTGGGCAGGGCCAAAGAGATTCCATTTTCTGTCCAGGATCAGGGTTGCTACTCTTTAGGCCCTGAAGTCCTGACCCTAAGATTCTGGGGCCCCTCACCAGGGCACTCCTCAGCCCCCGTGGGGAGCCCCTCCCGAGCAGCGAGTAACTCTGTTTTCCTGCTGCAGGCCAGTGCGACTTTGGCTCCAACTGCAGATTTTCCCACATGTCAGAGCGAGACCTGCAGGAGCTGAGCATCCAGGTGGAGGGTACGTCTCGGGATGCCCTGGGTTAAGTGGGAGTGGGGTGCTAGGGCACGTGGTCTCTGAGACCGGGGAAGCTGGCCTGTGCCTCCCCATCTCCCTGTCATTGGCAGCCAAGGGCTGCCCAGGGTGACGGGGAGCCCTGAGCCCCCGGTTTGGGCCAGGTGTCAGGAACAGCCTCAGCATGAGTGGAGAAGGCAGGCCTGTGTACCCTGACAGTGAGCCTGCGTGGCTTCCTGCCCGGGAGCCCTGAAGGTGCACCTCAGCCCCACCTGGACCCTGTGGCCAGCTCAGCAGTCACTGGCAGATACACCCCATCCCTCCCTCAATCAGGCAGCATACCCAGTCTCCACGTGGCACCAAGCAGACCTCTTACGACAGTCTGGGAACAAGGAGTTTAGGAACACACCTTCCCTGCCTTCTGGAGTCTCACAGCCTGGTGACTCCAGGGAGGGGCAAGTTCAGCCTCCATGGAAGCTGACATCTCGCCTTTGGGAAGTTCACTCCTCTAGTTGGAGCGAGGCTGAGTGCTGGGCCCTCGTGGACAGAGGGCCTGGAGAAGTGGTCCAGGTGCATCTTCCTGGAAGGTTGCTGCAACTTCCCAGGGCTTGCTCGGGGCCTACCGGTTGCTTCTGCTTTGTGGGAGGGTAGGGTTCCGGCAGGCAGGCGTGTACCCCTCACTTGCCTTTGTCTCCCTGTCCCCACAGAGGAGAGGCGAGCCAGGGAGTGGCTGCTAGATGCTCCCGAGCTCCCCGAGGGCCATCTGGAGGACTGGCTGGAGAAGAGAGCCAAGCGGCTGAGCTCAGCCCCAAGCAGCAGGTACAGTTCCCCAGGGTTCCCTCCCCCTGTGCCCTCGGGGGCAACACCCCAGCCCGCCTGCCCCTTCCTGAGGCTCAGGAATCTCCATGAACTGCCCAGGCCCAGGGGCCAAATAAAGATGCCTCCACAGAGCTCTCCGAGGGGCCATGTTGGGTGCTCTCGGGGCCCCAGGCCCTGGCCAGAGACTGAAGGGTGTTTGAAGGAGCCTCTCCCAAGGCTGGGCTCCTGTTGGAGTCTGTGTTGGCTGGAGGGGAGGCAGGCGGCTGAGCTGATTTGGCTGCACGTCACCAAGTCCATTGCCAGAGGGAGGGGCCTGGGCTGTGGTCACCATGCACTGCTACCCCTAGGGCCTTGCAGAAGGGAAAACAGGCTCACGAGAGGGGTATGACTTGCCCGAGGGCATACAGCTAGGAAAATGTAGAGCCAGGATTATACAGGGTGTGATGACAAGGTCCTGGTCCCACTGTCTTTCTAAGGAAGGGGGTCTGGTGATGGCTCCAGCCCTCGGGACACTCACAAGTTAAAGGGGAGCTGCTGGGTCAGGGTCCTTGGGGTGTGTGCTTCGTGCTGTCCCTGGTCCTCCTCTTTGAGGGAAAGGACTCAGGTGATATTCACATCAGCAGAATGGGACACAGGGCAGGCAGGGGCATTGCGGCCAAAACCAAAGCCTGAGCTCCTGGGCTTTTCCTCCAGGGACTGAAGAGGGGAGGGGAGGAAAAGGGGATAAAGCTGCACCCAGGAGCCACGTATGACTTTGACACATTTTCCCATCCTGGCCACCTTACTTTCCGCATCTTGCAACGGGGCTTCAGACCTGACAACCTCTGTGGTGTGGCTTCGCAGGACGGTGGCCTGGCCTGGTCTGGGCCGAGGGGGCCTGGCCAGTCTGTGGGGTGAGGCCTTCCCTCGGGGCTCTGCCAGAAGGTGAAGGCCAAACTTCTTGCCTTCTCTGTGCCCCAGTGAAAGAGACTGTGAGGGTGTTTTTCTCTCTCTCTCTCTCTCTCTCTCTTTCTTTCTTTTTTTGAGATGGAGTCTTGCTCTATTGCCCAGGCTGGAGTATAGTGGCATGATCTCAGCTCACTGCAACCTCTGCCTCCCGGGTTCAAGCGATTCTCCCGCCTCAGCCTCCCGAGTAGCTGGGATTACAGGCACCCACCATCATGCCCGACTGATTTTCGTATTTTTGTAGAGACAGGGTTTTACCATGTTGGCCAGCCTGGTCTTGAACTCCTGACCTCAGGTGATCCACCCACCTTGGCCTCCCGAAGTGCTGGGATTACAGGCATGAGCCACCACACCTGCCCCCACCTGTTTTTTTTTTTTTTTTTTTTTTGAGATGGAGTCTTGCTCTGTCGCCTAGGCTGGAGTGCAGTGGCACGATCTCAGCTCACTGCAATCTCCGCCTCCTGGGTTCAAACATTTCTCACACCGCAGCCTCCCAAGTAGCTGGGAATACAGGTGCACACCACCATGCCCAGCTAATTTTTGTATTTTTAGTAGAGACGAAGTTTCTCCGTGTTGGCCAGGCTGGTCTCGAACTCCTGACCTCAGGTGATCCACCTGCCTCAGCCTCTCAAAGTGCTGGGATTACAGGCATGAGCCACCGCACCCAGCCAGTAAAGGTGTTTTAAAACTAACTTTCTCTTTTACTTTTATTTTAAATCTGTGTTCAGTTTTTGTCTCCCCACCTTAAAAGTATATATGATACACACATGACTCAAACGTTGGAGTGTGACATTCTCTCCTCCTGGTCCTATCTGAAGGGTCCTGTTTAAAGGGGTTCTATCCTGTCTTTGGGCATATGAGTACCTCCCTTGGGACTGGCTGCTATCCAGGGATCCACATCCTACACCCCAGACTCCTTCAGCCCATGTACAAGAGGTTTGGGCTGGTTGGAGGCTGCCAAGAAAGCTCTGGCCCTGTGCCGCTCCTTGGACAGGGCCCCCTGTGGGTCCCATCCTCACTCTGCCACCTGCTAACCGGGTTACACCAGCCCCTCGCCTCCCTGCTCTGGCTCCATGGTGTCCTCCACCAGGAGCGAGTCACAGAGGCCCAGCTGTCTCTTGGGGCTGTGACAAGGTTTCATGGAGTGCCTGTGGCTGGAGTGAGCGCCAATGGGTGGGGTAGAGATGGGGTGTCCGAGGGTCCTTGCCTGGGTTCCAGACAGATGCATCCCTGTGCTGACACAAGGCACTGTGAATCTGAGACTCGGGGGACTAGGGGACAAGATGGGGAAACTGAGGCTGAATGACTAGCTCCAGTCACAGGTTGAAGTGGCAACCATATGAGAATTGAGTTTGGTGCTTATGGTGTTCCCAGTGTTTGGGGCATTCAGGGAGATTGGCACCCCCATTTTGCAGCTGAGGAATCTTAACCTCTCCAGGAGGTGGGGCCATCCTGATCACATGCGCCCTGCTGCCCTTGGCCCTCACTTGAGAGAGAGCTATGTCCCTGCTCTGTGTCCAGACCCCAGACTGCCTCTGACATGAAGTTCAGGGCTGGCCCAGGGCTCCGTGCAGCTGTGGGTAGTGGCAGTGGCAGCAGCAGGCTGCCCGGATGGCAGTGACTGTTTTGGAAATGGGCTCTGCAACTGGGGCCCACCTCGGCTCTAGGGGGTCTGAGCCCTGTGCTCTGGGCCATTCTCCCTCTGGCCACCCAGCCTGGCCCCTTCCAGGGGATCTGCCACCTGACTTCCTCCAGCCTCCTGAGGGCTTGGGGCCAAAATGAATTATTCTCTAGGCAGAGCAGGCCTGTCCAGCCTTGAGAAAAAGGGGCTGTGGGAAGGGAGGTGACCGTTTATTCCTGCTTTTGCCATTGCTGCCTTGGGCATCCATAACCGTCTCCGGGCAGGCTGGTCTCCTGAAGCCTCGCAGCCTTTCCCTGGGCCCCGGGCTTTGAGCCCCTCCGCTGCATCCACGCCCCCTACCCTCCTTGATGGGAGGGGGTGGATTCCAGTCCCAGCCCTCCGCGAGGCTACCTCACTTTCTTCCTGGCTCCCTCTCCGGCCTGGAGGCCGTGCTGCAGGAACAGCGTTCTTCCTCCGCCCTGGCTCTCTTGGGGGCTACAGCGGCCCCTCCCTGTCCCTCTGCTCCCACAGGGTATCCTCCACACAGCAGCCCTGATGCAGCCTGGCCCCACTCCCTCCACCTCTGCCTCCACAGGCCCATTTGCAGGGCTGGGGCTGGGGCGGGGGGACCCTCCCTGCTGCCTCCACAGCCGGTGGGATCGCATTCTCACCTCTTGCCTCTGGCCTGACTGTTGGTCCCACTGGACACTCGGCAGCTTCTTAGATGTGGCATCATTTGTGATTTGGGGGCATCTTGTACATGCTATTTTCTTGCCTGAAACTGCCTCCCACCTCTCTGCCTGGCAGAGTCAGACTTGTCCTGGAAGCTCTAGCTGAGACTTCACCCCTCCCAGTCCCCGCTTCTCCCGCATGGCCTGGGCAGACTTGGGGGGCCCAGGACAGGTTGACTGCATGAATGAGCATTTAGGCTGCTTTCTGGGCTTTCCCCGGGTGTTAATGCTGCGAGCCTCGAGCCTCTTGCGGGGCCTGGTCTGGAAGCCTGGGGGCCCCCCTTTTCCTCTCAGGGTATCTGCTTCCTCCCCCAGGGTACAGGGCACAGAGGGCTGCCCACCCCACCTGGGGAAGCCGAGACCTGCAGGCTCCAACCCCCGCTGGCTGAGCCGAGCCTCCCCAGTGAGCCAGGCCAGCCCTCCTTGTAAATGTGGGGAAGCAGAGGGTCCACGAAGCCCCAGCCTGGTGGCATTGCCCTTATCCCCCTCCGCAGACTGACCCTGAGGGAGCTGTCAAGAGCAGCGGCGGCCTCAGACACACAGACTAATCCCCCGGCGAGCCAGGCCTGGCCCTGCTGCCCACTGTTGGCTCTTCAGATTGTGACTCTATCCCTCTTAATCTCTCCTTTGCACCCCTCTCTGGGCGGGCGCTGCCATCCTGGCCCATCCTCCTCCCTCGACTCTATTTCCTCTGATTAGGACCGAGGCTGGGGAAATGCAAGAGAGTGGCTCCTGTCCTCACGCACAGGACAAACAGGTCACTAGAGAAGATACGAGCAGAGTTGTGCCAGACACGCACCTCAATGTCCCCAAGGCTTTGGCTCACGTGTCTGAAGCCCTGGCAATGTGCCAGTGTGTGTGGGCAGGCGCCGGGTATGCCTCTCTACTGGCGGGGCCTCAGGGCAGGCAGGGGCATGGGGCTGAGACTTGGACCCAGGAGGTCCCAGCTTCCCGGGAATCTGCCCCATTTTCCAGAGGAAGGGCTTGAGGCTCAGGGGAAGGGGCTCCCCAGGATCATACCCTCCCTGGGGGATCCCCACTGTCCCTGTGGCCCTGCAGGGAGTCCAGGCTTGGCTAGCAGCTGGGGCACTCCCTTCCAGCAACTGCGGAGCCTCCCCGCCTTCTCTGCGGCTGGTGGAGTTTATGAAATCTCCCCAGTGCCATAAATCATGTCGGGAGCTGCCTTCTGCGCTTTCTAGCAGGCAGTGAGCCACGAAGCAGGGGATGTCCCTGTCCTCTCACACCTGGGGGTCCTGGAGGCTGCACCCAGAGCTCCCCGGAGTCCTTGACTCTGCATGGCAGGTCTGGCCCAGAGAGGGGCAGGCTGGGTGGGTGCAGCAGGGGAAACTCCCAGGGCTCCTGACTCCGGCTCCCCACCTGCCCCTCGGAGGTCAGAGGCCTCTCCAAACCCCTCTCAGCAGGCCCAAGCCCTTCTCTGTCTGCAGAGGGCTGGCCACTGGGCCCCTGAACCTGCCAGGAGCTGCCAGGGCCTCACCTTGCCTAAAGGCTGGATGTTGGGGTGTGGGGGTGTGCCGGAGCAGAGGGAGCTGAAGTGGGAGGGCCATGCCTGCAACCGATGTGGGGCTAGCATTCCAGGCCCTCAGGCCTCATCCCGAGGGTGTCACTTGGTCACGTGACCGACTCCTTGCACCTCAGTTTCCTCATCTATAAAATGGGGTTTGCCTGAGGATTCTTAAGGTTTCTGTTGGTCATGGTGTGTGGCCCAGAATAGCACCTGGTCAGTAAGATCTTTCAGCATTGCTGTTTTGTTGTTCCACAGTCACTGGGTGGCCTCCTGGCACCAGGCCTGGCCCTGCGCATTGGGGTACAAATATACCCTACCCCTATCCCCTGGTATACATCCTCTGAGAACTCCAGTCCTATGCGGAAGACAGATGAGTTCCTGCCTGAATTTTGGCGGCAGCTGCATGGCACTCTGCTGTGGACGTGCCCATGTACTGAGTCCCCCACAGCTGGACACGAAGGTCTCACGGCTATTGCTGTAACTCAGTGGCTGCCCACAACCTCGCTATTCCCTTGGGCTCAGTTCCCAGAGGTGAGGTTGCTGGCTCAAAAGGTCTGCATGTTTTCGAGGCTCTGCCTTCCAGAAAGGTTGTTTATAGGCAGCTGGGGTGTTGGGAGTTCAGAGTGCTCAAAGGTTCAAAGTACTTTGAAACCTGAGAAGGGCCCTGTGGCCCTGGAGATGCAGCCTGGGTGGGGCCCAAGGCCAGAAGAATCTGAATGTGGGACAGGAGGAAGAATGGGGGCGACCCTCACTGGGCCTTGGCAGGGTGCCCCAGGCTGGGCATGGAGGATGCTTCTCCTAGGGCAAGTGCTTACATGGACCCTGAGTTCCAGGGGAGGTGGCTCGGGGTGGACGTTGAGGAGGAGGACAGTGAGTAGCATGAGAAATGAGGCTTTTTAAAAACATTTAGACAGTATTTTTTTCTGATTTCAAAGGCTTGCGTGCTTGTAAAACTTTTGAGAAGTATAAAGGAGTAAAAAAGTCACCCATAATGGCACCACTCAGATAGAACCACTGTTAACATTTTGCTGTGTCTTCCAGGATTTTTTTATGCATTTATATATTTTATATATTTTTAAACAAAAATAGTATCATGCTATATACATTATTTTATAAGCTGCTTTTTCTCCCTATCACACAGTATGTCTTTCCTCATCAGTGCATATAGGTCTGCCTGAATTCTGACACAGGCCGCATGGCATTCTCTGCTGTGGACGTGCATATGTATTGAATCAGTCCCCCACAGGTGGACACGAAGGTTATTCCCATTGTCCCATGGCTGTTCTCGTAGCTCAGTGTCTGCCCGCAACCCCGCTGTTTCCCTGGGCTCAGTTCCTGGAGGTGAGGTCGCTGGCTCAGAGGGTCTGCCTATTTTTGAGACTCTGCCTTCCAGAAAAGTCGTGCAGGCAGCTGACCCTCCCCACAGCCAGGGTGGTGAGGCAGGTGGGCCGAGAGTGGCATAAGCCTGGGCTGTACCCCACTCTAATTCTCCCCCCTTCTCTCTCTCTCTCTAGGGCTGAACCCATCAGAACCACTGTCTTCCAGTACCCCGTGGGCTGGCCACCAGTCCAAGAGCTGCCCCCATCCCTGCGGGCACCCCCACCTGGGGGGTGGCCCCTGCAGCCCAGAGTCCAGTGGGGCTGAGCCCCTTGCCCCCGACTGACCCCCACGTGGTCACTTTTCTCATCAGTCACAAGCAGGAAGCCAAGCCCTGTTCCTGTGACGCCCCATGGAGGCTCTGAGACCATCTGTTGGCCTCACGGAGGCTCAGGACACGGCCGCAGCAAGGGTAGCCCTGGGTCTGCACCGGGCAGCTCCTGCCCACTCTCCTCCACCTGCCTCCTCCTCCTTATCAAGATGGGGCAGAAAACTTCCAGATGTTTATAAAGAAAGTCTGTCACCACAGCGGTCTGGCTGTGTTTCCCCACGCTGGGTGCTCTCAGCTCTGTTCTCTAGCCCCTGGCAGAGGTCGGGCAGGGCGGGAATGAGATGAGATTTTCCCCAGGTGACCCAGCTCACTCCCTCCTCCCTTGGGACCAGCAGAGGTTCAGCACAGCCAGGCAGAGGGTGTGCCAGGGTGGCTGTCCCCGTGGCCCAGTAAGAAGTGGCTCTAGGCCCAAGGAGCCCAAGGGCTCCATCTGCCATCCCCGCCCTGAAAGAATCCACAGCCCCCATGTCTGCCCATGCTGAGCTGCTGCCCAAGTGTTTTGGATGGCACAGCTGGGGCATGGGAGCGGGGTCTCCAGCCTTGAGGGCGTAGAGAAGTGAGAGGACACAGGAGGGCAGGCCCTGGGCTGAGAGAGTGGCCTGGCGCAGCCTCTTGGCACTGACTGTGCGGGGCTATGCCAGTTTCTTGGCCCAGAAGGTAGTACAGGGGCCCTCCTCAGGTTCAGCCCTGGAGGAGCCCCCTGGCCGGAGGCTGCTCAGAGCCTTCAGGCCCCAGCTCTGCCTCCTTCCTCAGCTGGACTACAGTTCTAGGCTCTAGGCTGGGGTGGTGGACGATGTGGCCTTGGTGGCCGGGCCCCTGGTGGGAGGCCCAGAAGGTGGGGGGCTGCAGGACCACCTCAGCTTCTGCCTTTCCTGAAAATCCCTGTAGAAGGAAGAACTGAGGCCAAGTCTCAAGCCCCTGAGCCTCGGGTTCCTCACCTATGAAATGGGCTGGCCCAGCAGATACATGGAAAAAGGGGGTCTGGGTTGGGGTCCAACAAGGGTCAGAGGAAGGGACCCAGGAGAAGACCAGGCCCTTCTCAGGCCATGCCAGGCAGCAGGGCCCAGGACACCCTGGCTTCCCACCCTCCCCAAGGAGAAGGCTTTCTGTCCCCTGTTCCCCCGCCCAGTGCCCTGGGCAAGCCTCAGGGACCAGGGCTGGGTTGGCTGTGTGGCCCCAGATAGGCTGCTGTCTCCAGGCACAGGGTGCCCCCTCCTGCCCAAGGGACCACAGCAGCGACTGGGTCCTGGGGGTTCTTGTGCAAATCCCTCCTTAATTTCCCAGGAGCCCCTGGATGGTAGGAAGAGTGAGTGCTCCTTATCGGCCAGGGTGGGGACAGGGTGGGGACAGGACACAGCCACCACCCGGCCCTCCACAGCCAGACCACAGCTCCAGGTGAGGCCTGCGGGTGGGTGGGGAGGGCTCGCCAGATAGCCAGGCCCTGAAGTACACGCAGATGGCGGCCCAGGGAGCCGGCCAAGGGAGGGGTCTGCAGGTGGTGGTGGTGTGGGGCGGGCCGCGGGCACCGCATGTGGTGGATGGGGCATCCAGGTGGCGTCTACTTCATGCCACTGCGCAGCACCTGGTTGGCCGCAATGAGCATGACACTGATGATGAAGGCGATGGCGAAGGCGCAGATGAGACTCTTGCGTACGCACGTCTGGCGGATCTGCTGGTTGGAGCAGGCTGTGGCCGCCCGCCGGGAGCACCAGGGAGACAGAAGGGGACATGGAAAAAATGGAATTAGGAGCTGCTTGCCCTTCGGTACATGGGCTCATCCCATGGGGTGCCCCAATGGGACAGAGGCTTGGGACAGGCAAGGCGGCCCCCAGTCCCCCTCTGCAGACACCCCCCCCCACCGTGCATCCCCCTGGTCAAGACATCGAGCCCACCCGTGGGGTTCCAGGGCCAGTCACTCACTCTCCACGTCCACGGGGCACTCCTCGGCTGTGCCCAGGTGGCTCTCCTCCTCCGTCATGATGATGTTTTCTATGTCCTTCATGGACAGGTGCTCGCAGAAGGTGTCATAGAGCAGCCGCTTCAGCTCGTCCACCGTCAGCTTCTGCATGTCGCACTTGCAGAGGGGGAAAACACGGTGCTCTGACAGCCACCACAGCCCCCACCCAGCACCCCGTGGCCACACAGGCCCAGTGACAGGCCTCCAGATTCTGGGGGGCTGGAAAACACTAGCTCCATTCCCCCAGAGAGTCCTTGACCAACACCAGCCTTCCCAGGGAGCCTATGGCCCTCTGAGAGGTGAAATGTCCAGTGGACACAAGCCTGAAGTGGTCATCCCCCCTTTACAGTGCAGGCCCAGCCATTCACTGGCCGCAGAACAGCACTCCACAGTGTGCACAGCCCTGGGTCCCAACTAGCCAGGGCATACCTTCCAGAAGACAGTGTCAAAGTCAGTGCCATGGAACTTCTCTGGGATCCCTGACGTGGAGAGTTTGGGTCCCAGGAGGGTCACAAACTCCTCAAAGTCCACTTGACCGTCACCTGCAGGAGGCACAGGGCCAATCAATCAGTGGGTCGGGCCCAGGCCCAGGCCCGCAGCCCAGGGCCCAGAGGACCTGGGATGGAGTCTTGATATACCTTGGGCCTACTGGGTGACCTTAGGCAGGTACCCACCTTCTCTGAGCCTTGAGTCAGTGTCAGGGGCATCTACCAAGTGCCAGGCTCTGGGCTGACGCTGAAGCCACCCAGTGTGATGAGGCCTTACAAGGGGAGGTGGAGGTAGACAGCAGATGGGCCGTGACTCTCCTATTTCACCCAGAACCCTCCATTGCTCCCAGCACCCTGCAGCCATCCTGGGGTGGGCCGTCCTCTACCATATAGACAGGAACTGAAGCTCAGAGTGGGGCAACCTGCCCAGGCTGTCACCTGGCCTCTGGATGGAGAACAGGAGAAGGGCCCAGGCATGATAAAGAGGGGTCTTGGCATCACCATTCCTTCTTATGAACTTTTCCTTAATAAAATGCCAGGTGGCAAACACAACTCATGTAGCGATTTTATCTCAGGTGGTGGGAACTGGAGTATTTATTGCACCCTTTTACTGCTCTGTACTTTAAAACTTGTCAACACAGAGTGAGAGGAGCCGTCTCTGAGCCCTGCATGTGGCTGGAATTGTCACTACCTCTCTGGCCTCAATTCTCCAGGCTGAGAAATGGGGCCAGACTGGGCTGCAACCTGCCACGGACTTTGAGGGTGGGAGTCAGGGGAGTGAGAGACCCAATTTGGATGCAGCCTCAGCAGCTCAGGCCCCAGCCCCAGTCCCTGCCCCACCTCCAGGGCCCAGGTGCCAGGTGGGGAAACCGAGGTGGGGGGGGTGCTCACCATCCATGTCCAGCCGCTGGATGATGACCTCCAGCTCCACCTCGTTGGGCATGTAACCCAGTGAGCGCATGGCTGTGCCCAGCTCCTGCTTGGAGATGAAGCCATTGCCATCACGGTCAAACACCTTGAAGGCCTCTCGGATCTCTGAGGAGAGAATGGAGCAGGCTGGGACTTCACCCCGGTCCCCAACAGACCCCCTTTCCAGACCCCCAGGATCACCAACCCCGCAGCCTGAGCATGGCTTTGAGAGCCCAACCCAGAGCCTGCAGATCTGGTGAGAGCATGGCCCGAGGGTACACAAGGGTGCAGTATTCTGGGACTTCTGAGCAGGCTGAGCAGGGCAGCACAGCAGGGCTAAGGGTCCCCCAGCAGTGACTTCTCGGAATCCGATTGTGCCAGGCTCTCATGGCCTCTGCTGGTGTGCTCACAACGACCCCATGTGGTGGGGACCACGTGCAGGGGAGGACGCTGGATCTCCCCGGCCCAGCTGACAGCTTCCCCGCCCACTCCCACTCCTTCCATCCCCCCTCCCCCGCCATCCCCATCCCGCTGCGCCTCCTCCCCCAGGCTCAGATCCTTAACACCGGCCAACACTCGCTAATGGCAACCACGTGAGGCGGCACGCTCCAGACTAATGGGCTGACGGGCAGGCGGCACAGACCTGTTTGGTTCAGGGAAGACAGGGGGGGATGGAGGCCCCCCAGGTCCAGGCCAGATCAGACTGGGTGGGGGTCGCCCTCCACACTGTACGGAGTAGAAGACTGAGGCCTGGCAACCTCGGTGACTCAGGTGGTGAGCAATGCACTGTGCTGGGAGCCCGGGGAACAGGAACCCAACCTGTGACCTTGGGCCGGACTCAGTTTTACCCACAGTGAAACAGGCAGAATGATGGTGGGGACTCCCTGGCACACAGTTGAGAGGCTCCTCACCTGTCACCTTAGCTGTACTTCTGTCTCTTCTGTTTCTCTGTTTTTAAGGGTTGCTGTCCCTTAATCATCACAGCCCCAGCAGGGCCCTAAAGGGCATCTGCCTTTGGGGGTCGGGGGGTGGGGCTCAAAGCGCTCTCTCCAGCTCCCTGGGGATCCCCTTGTTTGCTTGCCAGCCACCTGGCCTTTGCTTAAGCTGTTCCCCTGGGTGGGCTTTTAGCTTTCAGCAGGCAGAATCAAGATTCTCATGCGAGAGAGGGTGCGTATCTGTGTGTTTAAAAGTAGAGACATAGGCGAGGTGCCCATGCTGCAGACCAGAAACAGGCTGAGAGAGGCCGGGTGGCCGGCCCAGAGTCAGCGTGGGCTCGGAGCTGCTGCTGCTCGGGCTGGCCCAGGCCTTGCCTTCAGAGTCCATGGACCCTGAAACTGCTCACAGGACCTTGCACTTTGGAGTCATTCCCTAGTCTTGGGGGGACAGGGGAGCCTAGCCCAGCCTGTTGGTCTCACCACAGACTAGGGGCCATGGCCCAGAGAGGATGGCCACATGTCCCAGGCCACACGACAAGGTGGCTTGGACAGAGGCCCCACCCTTATCAGGCTCATCCCACCGGTGTCCATACCCAAGCCCTGAGGGTCAGACAGGCTCATGTGTGTGCACCAGGGTTGCCTGGGCCCCCAGACTTTCTGACTGTGGACTTGCCCTTCACTCACCCCCGCCAGGACCTGGGAATCTTGTCTCCTGACCAGTGGCCCCGGGGCCAGGGAAGCAGCTGGGCGGGGAGGTCTGTGCCAGGGCCACAGGGTTCTGCAAACCCTGGACTCTGGGAACTCCAGGTCAATTCCCACCTCGAGTTTTCCTGGGTCACCGAAGAGGTGGTGTGCTCCCCGTCACGGGAGATGTGCGAGCTGAGGCCTGACAGCCACGGGGGCTACTGAGGGGACTCCAGTCCCTAGAGCCTCCAGGTGGAGCTGGAGGCATCTGCACACACATGCTTAGGTTTCCGGCCACTGCTGTTGGCCTCCTGGCCCGGCCGCATGTTCTGCCCATCCCAGGTGTCCTGAACTCCATCCAGGCTAGGGGCCCTCTCGGTCCTGTGGGCACCAGGACTGCTCCATCTCCAGTCCTTTGAACACGCGGCCCATTTTGCCTGAAGTGCTCTTCTCACTGTGGCAAACCCTGACACAACCCCAGTTCTCAGCTTGAACGGCACCATCTCCCTGGTGCCCTCCCTGTCCCCCACTGGCCAGCTCTGGCCCTCCTCTGGGACGCCACAGGCTCTGCTCTTGTCCCATCCTTACATGGGCCACGCTGGATTGTGCACTACAAGGGCCATGACAGCAGGCAGGGGCTGGTCTTGCTCATGGCTGTGTCCCTGTCCTGGAACGGGGCCTGCCTCTTCAAGCATAAACATTTGCTGAGTGAATGATGAAATGAATGAATGAATGATGTGGGGAGCCCACCCATCTGGAGCACACAGACTTCTCCGGCTCTTCTGAGCGGAAGTTCACATGCTGCTCGCTGTGGGCCGCTACTCAGAGCCCACCAACAGTCCTGGTTAGGGGACGCGTTTATTTCCACTCCCCAAGCAGCCAAGAAGCAGATGGGGAGGCTGAGGAGGCTGCTCAATCCCTTCTCCAGACCCAAAGGTCGCCATCCCCACCTGCCTGCGGACCACCCGTGGAAGAGGGGCATCAAGCTGAAGACGGGTGGGGGCCAGATGCTGGTGTGGGGAAGGAGGACCAGGGTCTGGCACTGCTGTTCTCTGCGTCCTCCTCCTCCTCCTCCGTTTCCTCCTCTGCGGGGTCCAGCTTGGGAGATGTCTGGGTGGGATGGCAAAGTCCTGGACTCACAGTAGGAGCTGCAGTGGGAGCTGCCCCTCCCCTGCCTGCTGTGAGCTGAGCTCCAGGCCATCCCTCCTACACTTCGGGAGCTCCCAGAGCCCAGGGCTGCTTTGCTGGAGCCTCTGGGTTGCTTTGCTGGAGACCCTGAGAAAATGCACTCGGCCGAGGAGAGCGAGGGAAGGGCAGGTGAATATTGGGATGCACGGGCAGGCGATGAGCTCAGAGGCGGCTCTGCGGGCCCAGCAGCTGTTTCTCAGGCAAGGCTAACCTTCCCAGGCCACTGGGTAAATCCACACACTGCCACCTCCCCACGCATGAATCCCTTCAACACCCCTCCTTGGCGCATCCAACACACCACAAAGTCTCACCTCGGTGCCTCTGCCTGTACTGGGAACCCTGCCCCAGCCCAGCCCCAGCCCCAACCGACTCCCACCCACCCACAAAGGCCAGGTTCAGGTACCACCTTCCCGGACAGGGAGGCAGCCTGAAGCGGCAGAGACAGAGGGTCAAGTCCCAGCCCTCCTACATCCTGGCGGGGTGACCTTGGGCACGTATTTGCTCACCTGTACAATGGGGCTGCTGGGATGATTAAGCAAGAAAATCAAGCATGTGTCTGGCTGGTCCTGGCTCAGAGATGGATGCTATAAATCAGAACGTCCCAGATAGCAGAGCCAGAAGAAGAGGAAGGACTGAGTGAGCTTGGGACGCCAGGCCGCCCTTCCTGTTGGCGGTTGCCAGGACCAGAGGCGTGGGCTTGGATTCTGGCTCTCCTGCTTAGCTGCCCAGTGGCCTGGGCAAGTCACATCCCTCTCTAAGCCTCGGGTGTCTCATCTGTGAAATGGGGAGCAACTCTGGCACTATCACCGAAGCACAGACTCTGCTGGGGGCTCCCTGAGTGGGGCGGGTGTCGCAATTTCCTGCCACCGTTGTGCCATCAGCACCCCACAGCTGGGTGCATTTCCCCGAAAGCCTTGCTCCCTTCCCGTCCCGTGGGGCCAAGGGAAGCTCGCCGGGCTCCATCTTGGCATGGGGATGCTGGTCCGGGAATAGGCTGGCAGGGCGACCAGCTTTCCAGGCTGACCTGTCCCCTACCTGCCACCTCCAGCCTGACACCCCCCAATCTCCTTCCCAACCTGTGGAGCTTCATCACAGCCCAAGTCCCCAGCAGACTCCAAGGGACATCCACACTCCATCAGGGAGCCGGAGTCCAGAGGACGGGCACTGGTTGGAGGTCACTGAAGAGGGTAGTGTCCATCCTCCGCAGCGGCTGCTACTCTCCGCGGCACTGGCCCCATGCCCCACCACTCTGGCCTCCCTGAGCTTTTGGCTGTGCAGAGGCGGCTGCTGGGCTTGCAGGGCAGAGAGGTAGGAAAGGGGACTCCCCAGCCTCCCCTGCCCTAAAGGCCCCCATTCGGCCACTCTCAATGAAGGCTCCACTCACTGACTGGGCAGGCCAAGTGTCAGCCCCAGACACTTGGGGACTGTCTGCCTGGAGGTCTGCCCTGGGGACTGTCTGCCTGGAGGTCTGACTCCTTCCTCCTCTCTTCGGCCAGAAAGGCCTAGGACTTGCAGCCACCCCATTCCCACCCTCAGGTACTCAGTCCGCTGATGATGCTGGGACCAGCCTCAGTGTTCCCGGAGGACTCCACTGTGTGTGCATGTTGGAAAAGGTGTGTGTCCCAGCCATGGTGGGCACACAGAGGTGATCTAGGAGAGCCCGTGCCTCTCCCTCATAGGGCCTGGGTGGGCCTCAGGCCAGCTCTGCACAACCACGTTCCTACCCTGCCAACTGCCCTCCATGCCTCCCCAGGGCCACAGGTCCCCAGGCACCTTTTCCAGACCTTCAGGGCCTTTTCCACCCAGACCTCCCTGCCAGCCTGCCCTTCTGGCCCAGCCTCCTGCACACCCTCATGGGCCTGGGCCCTGCACGCTGCAGCCTCTTACCCCTGCAGGGCCTCCCCTCATGTTGCATCTGGGTCGCTGAGCCCCTGGGCTAGGTACTTTCACTGCATGCTCCGTCACCAGCCCCCCTTTTATAGGTGGGGAAACCAAGGCTCAGAGAGGTGAGCGATTGCCCAAGGTCACTCCATGAGCTGAAGGTGCAGAGACTCAAACCCAGCGCCGCCTGGCTGGGAAGCCCTCATCTTAACTCTGTGCTTCCCACCTCCCTGGCTGGTCCTCCTTTCCGCTCAGACTGACCGCCCCCTGGATTTCTGCGGCAGGCACGTACTGTCTGCAGCATTTCATCCCGGGCTGCCCAGCTCCCTCTTCCTGGCACATGTGGCTCCTCCGCTGATGGCGTCCTCCCAGCAAAGGGCCTGGGTCTCGCCCAGACTGCCCTGGGGCAGGAGCACTCATGAGGCCCTGCAGAGGGCAGAGGGGGATCCGTGCCAGGAACGGCCAGCCCTGGCATTCAAGGACTGCTGAAAGGGACCTGGGGCCGGCAGAGGGCTTTTAGGGCACCTGCAGCCAAGAACGGGGCTGGTCATGGAAAACTTCTTGCCTTCATCTGTAGCTGCCCACTGGCCCAGAGATGAGCTGGGACCACCCAGGCATCTGTCTACTCCACGACCCCACCTGCCCATCCCAGGGAGGGCCCTGCCCTTCAGATGCCCCCTGAGTCAGGGCCCCTCAGCTCCCCAGGGCCCAGGAGAAGGGGACAGGAGTGAAGCAGGGAGGGCACTTGTTGTGGCTGGTGACTAACGCTGCTGGGCTCCTGCCAGCACACCATGTCATTGGTTGGGGAGCCTACGGCCTTGCCCTTGCGCTGCCCACCCTGTAGCCCCTCGCCCCTGCAGCCAGCCTCTCAGCCTCTCCCCTTCCTCAGGGAGTGCACTCCAGGACTGGAGATCAGGAGAGGAGGGACCCAGCAAAGCCTGGAGTCGGGGTGCCAGGGTCCTGGTGGGGGTGCTGGGAGCAAGGGGAGGGAGTGAAGTGGAAGCTGCCTGGGGTCTGGGAGACATGGTGACTCCTGCCTGGATGGCCAGGAGGAATGGATGGACGAGGACCTCTGGAGGGAAAAACCGGCAGGAGATTTGAGGTGGCCCGGGGCTGGAGGGGACAAAGGTGGGGAAGAGAAGGCCTATGCTCCATCTCCTGATCTTTCGCCCCCCATCGTACCCCTCCCTTCCCCAGGCTCTGAAGGAGGCTCTGGCCCTGGGTCTTAGGGATGAATGGTGAGGTCATGTCAGGGGGCCCCAATCATCCATCTGTCCTGTCCGCATCAGACCCCAGACCCTGTCTCCACAGCTCTCCCGGCATCTGAGGGTTTGCGGGGGCAGCTGGTGAGGAGCCTGTGGCTCATGCCTGTGGTGCAGTGAGCGTGGCAGAGGCTGCCTTCTCTCTCTGGATCTTCCCCCGACCCAGTCTGACTCCTCTAAGATCTGCCCTCACCTCGGCCTGGGTTGAAGACGGACCTCCCTCCATGGCTTCTCCTGGGCTCCCACCATCCTCCCTGACTGTGCTGGTCTCCGCAGCACCCTCCCAGACCCTAATGAGCCTCCAGATCTCAGAGACCCCTGGATCCAAGGTACCCCAAGAGGCCCATCCTCTGGGTGAGCTCAGCCCCTTGGCAACAGCAGACAAGCAGATCCCAGGAGGCCATGACCCCCATCAGCCCAGATCCCCCACTCCACTCCATATGGGGGCTCCAGGAGGTCTGGGGGGAGGGGAAACCTGAGCACCTCCCCTAGCCCAGCAGGGAAGGAGCTGGGCAGGCCCCAGGGGTCTCACTGCTCCTCAGGACACACTGTCCCGGACCCCTGCCCCTGCCCTCTACTCTGACCTAACCCAGCCAGCGGCCGGCCATCCTTCTGCGTGTCTGAGAGGCAAGGAGAACGGGGTGGGGGCAGGTTTGGGTCCTGGCCTCTCTAGCTTTCCCTTCCAGGCTTGGCTATCGCGACTGAGCCGCCCAATCCGGCCACTTGTTGTCGCCACCGCCTCCCGGGCCGCCTTCCCGGCGCGCCGGGCTAGGGGTCCCCGCAGGGCTGCAGGGAAGCGGCTACGGCCGCAGGTGGGGACGGGGGCGGCCCGGCAGCGGGCAAGAGCAGGGCAGTCGCCCTCTCCCCTTCTTCTGCTGCCCGAGCAGATTGAATTTTTAAAGCGACACGAGCGGAATGTCAATGTGAGCAGAGAGCCGCGGGCGGGCGCCGCGGAGGGGATCAGGATGCGGGTGCTCCGGCCGGGCCGGCGCTGGGTGCTCAGCGCGGACCCCAGCCCCAGTCTGCGGCGTTGCCGCACCGTCACCGCGGACTGCGCGGCCCCGTGACCCCGCTGCGGGGCCCGGCAAGTTTCCGCAGCGCGGGGGGCCACGCGGGCAGGGTCTGGGCCGCCCTCCGCCTGGGCGACCCCCACAGCGGCGCCTTGGAGTGCGGACCGGTCCTGCCGCCGCGCGCAGCTGCTCGCTGGGGCGCCCACCTGGCAGCCGGCACCTGCGGACCGCCCCCCGCCCCCGCGCCCATGGCCGGCGCTTCACCTGGGCGCACAGGTAGGAGGGCCGGCGGGGCGGGGGTCCCGGCGGACACTCACCCTCCAGCTCGTCCTCCGGGATGTCCACCGGGCGCTGCTCCGACAGCAGGTTGGGCACGGTGTAGATGCCCCGGTACATCAACGCCGCCGTCACCGGGTGGAACGGCATCTTGGAGGCTCCGCGCCCGCCCGCCCGCCGCAAACTTTGAGGCCGGGGCTCATGGGCCGGTGGCGGCCCCGGGGGCGGCTGGAGCGGGCGGGGCGCGCGGCTGCGGAGGGCGGCGGCGGCAGCGGCGAGGCGGGGGGCGCCCCTCCGGGGGCCTAGCGCCCCCGCGCCCCGGGCCGCCAGGCCATGCCGCCCGCTCCCTTGTCGGGCTCCCAGCCGGGGCCCCGCAGGGGCGGCGTGGGCGGCGCCGCTCTGGCCTTTCCGAGAGCTCCGGCTGCCGTCCGCGGTGCCCGCCGCGCCCGCTTCTCGGTGCCCCGCGCGCTCCGCGCTGCTCGCCGCCCGCTCGTCCGCTCGCCGGCGCGGCCGCCACCGGCCCGGCGCTCAGGCTCTAGGCGCTTCTCCGCTCGCTTGCTCGCTCGCTCTGTGCCGCGCTGGCTGCGCTCCCCGCCTCCCCCGCCAGCCGCCCGCCCGCCCCCTCCGCGCTCCCCACCCCCAGCCCGCCCCTTCCCGCCGCCGGCCCCTGAGCGGCCGCCCCAAACCTGCCAGGGGCTCCCTCTCCCCTTCGGCCCCGATTCCCCTTTCCCACTAGGGCTCCCCTCTGATCACTGGCCCCCCTCACCCTAAGTCTGCAGCCACTAGGACCAGGGAGGGGTTGGGTTGCGGGGGTCCTCCTTCCTGCCCCTTGGCTCACCTCCCCCCATCCACGCACCAGGAGCAGAGAGCCGGGAACTAAGAACAGGAGACCCAGAGAGGTGATACCGGCCCCAAGCACCTGGGTCCTCAAGAAGAATCACCGTTTCCGTGCCAGGAGGCTCTAAGGTGGGGAAACTGAGGCTGAGAAGGACGTTGACCAAGGTCACAGGGCAGGGACAGCAGGTAAGAGCTGGGTACACGTCTGGGGTAGACTTCCTGCCCTGCCTATGACTGACACTCTGCCGCTGACCTTGCTCCCCACAATGGGGCCCCAGTCCTGGACCCTTCCCAAGCCCCTACCTTTCAGCTTGCAGAAGAGAAGCCAAAGTGTCTCATGGCCCCCAGGGCAGTTCGGGACAGTGACATGGCCCGGTGCCTGTGGGGTCTGGTGTGAGGGCCTGCCAGTTCACATGGCTGCAGGTCAGACCTAATGTATGTGCAGGGCTTCCCCAGGCCCCAGGGCACGTGGGCACCCCAGAGCTGGGGTGGGGGCAGGTGTTTGAGGGAGCAGCCTGCGTGTGCATATGTCTGCTATCCATGAGGGCGTGTGTGTGCCACTGGGCACGTGCACAGGTGTCTGTGACTCCATATGCAGATGGACAAATGTCGGGAGCGTGTGGCCACCTGTGTGTGGAAAGGTTGTACGCCGGCAGGCCCGGGGAGGTGTGCAGGCCCTGGGGCTGGGAGTGGTGTGGGCATATGGTGCACAGATGTGCATGGAAGGAGGTGACCTTCTGGCCTGGCTGTGGCCCCATCTCTGGGTGCTCCCCTGAATCCCCCTATTGGGACCACCTCCCTGCCCCCTTTGGCCCAATCAGCTAAAGGTCCCAGCAGGAATGCTGATTGCATAGCCCTACCCAGCCCTGCCCTGCCCTTCCCAAGCTAATTACACTTTTCTGCTTGTTTCTGTTTTTGTTACTGATTAATCACAGCCTTGTCTCAGGGTCTGGGGAGAAGGGGCTCAGTGAGAGATGCTAGCCCCAGCCAATTGGGGTTGGCCCAGCCTGGGCCCAGCACTTCCTGGGCCCTGCTCTGGAGGGAGCTCCTAGAAACATCTGTAACCTGCAGAGGAGCCAGGAAGGACCCCAACTGTCTGTCCGTCTCCCCAGGCCTCTCCAGGCTAGCTGGCTGCCCACTGGGATGGGGGGCTGGAGGTGAGAGCAGCCCCAGAAAAGCTCCCACCCCACTCCAAACTCTGCTTGCCCACCTGTCCCATATTCTGAACTTCCGCTGCTACAGCTGAATGCCTTTAGCTTCCCCAGTGTATTTGATGGAGCAGAGACTTGAGGAAGAAAGAACCCAGCACCAACAGCCAGGCAGATTGGGGCTTCTGCATCCACCATCTCCTCACTGTGGGACTACGGTCATGTCCCGTAACCTGCCATGGCCTCAGTTTCCCCGCCTGTGAAGTTAAGGTGGCAGTGCGGCATCCCAGGCAGTGGTGAGGATGAAGTGACATAATGTAGGAAAGGTGCCAGGCAGCACCTCCCTGAAACTCTTGGGAGTTTCCTATTGCATGACCATCACTCCCAAGGAATAAGAATTAATAATAATTATAGCTTTGAGAATTGATTGAGAGAGTGAGGCACAGCAGCAGCTCAGTCGTTCCACGTTTACTAAATGTCCAGGCTGTGCCGGCCCAGGTCTGTCAGTTCTAAATCAGAACCCCTGGGTCAAGGGAGGGTGGGCTAGAGCCTGCTGAGAGGTTGGCAGGAAACCAGCTCCCAGTGACTCCCTGGGAGGCTGCTGCAGAGTGTGTTGGTACTCGCCCTGTGAAGGGGAAGCTCCTGGCCTTGCTGTCCAGGTGGATTTTTTTTTTTTTTTTTTTTTGAAGCGGAGTCTTGCTCTGTTGCCCAGGCTGGATTGCACTGCAACCTCCGTCTCCCAGGTTCAAACAATTCTCATGCCTCAGCCTCCCGAGGAGCTGGGACTACAGGCACATGCTATCACGCCCAGCTAATTTTTGTTTTTTTGTTTTTTTGAGATGGAATCTCGCTCTGTTGCCCAGGCTGGAGTGCAGTGGCCAGATCTCAGCTCACTGCAAACTCCGCCTCCCGGGTTTACGCCATTCTCCTGCCTCAGCCTCCCGAGTAGCTGGGACTACAGGCGCCCACCACCTCGCCCAGCTAGTTTTTTGTATTTTTTAGTAGAGACGGGGTTTCACCGTGTTAGCCAGGATGGTCTCGATCTCCTGACCTCGTGATCCGCCCATTTTGGCCTCCCAAAGTGCTGGGATCGCAGGCTTGAGCCACCGCGCCAGGCCAATTTTTGTATTTTTCATAGAGAACATGTTGGCCAGGCTGGTCTCAAACTCCTGATCTCAAGTGATCCACCCGCCTTGGCCTCCTAAAGTGCTGGGATTACAAGCGTGGCCCATGGTGGCTTTTTTTTTTTTTTCAAGTCAAGGGAATTCCAGGGATCAGGAGGAGGGTGGGCAAAAGCTCAGAAGTGTGAGAGGACCTCTCTTAGCTCTGAAGGGCAGGTCTAGGTCTGGGTTCTCCAGACCCATGCTTGGCACAGGACTGGGATGGGCTAAGGTGGCTGGGGCTGGATGAACATCTGTCAAATGAATGAATGAGAGAATTAATGAATGAATGACTGCCCGCTCAGCCCCCGCCCTTCAGCATTGCAGCCCCGTCCTCTCCTCTGTGCGTCATGGGGTAGCAGATGGCATGATCACAGGGTGTGAATTATGTCTGTCGCTCCCCCATCTGGGGAAGGTGCTGCTGCCATCACACTGCACTCCCTGGGTGCCCACCGGGAGATGCCTGGGCCTCAGGTCCTCCCCAGAGGGGTTCTCCACAGGCCTTGCTGACTAATCATTGGCTCAGGGGGCTGGAGACACTGGGAGAGGTGACTCGCTGAAACCTGTGATTCCGGGGATGGGGTTCCCCGAGTGGGGAGGAGACAAGGGGAGAGAGGTGGGAACTACCCTGTCCAGAGGCCAGACTCTTCCCCCCTGAGACTGGAGCCCACTCCTTTCAAGAGCAGCATAATCCCTGCCCCCCTGGCCAGAGACTTCTTGTCTGAGGCCAGCATCCGCTTGCCACATTCAGCACCAGGGAGAGCTCCCAGCAGAGCCTAGGGCCCAGTGTGCAGCTGTGAAGGGACCCACCAGTGCCGGCCAAGGCTATCAATGAACCCACTGTCCAGACAAGGAAATCAAAGTGAAGAGAGTGTAAGCATCAAGTTCAAGGTCATGCTGGGACCAATAACTGCAGCCCTACCCAAGCCAGGGCTCCTGCTGGGGGAGAAGGTACTGGAGGAGGGGAGGTAGTGGTGGTAGGGAGGGGGTGTCCCGGGAGGCCAGAGGCTATGGCCTCTGCTCCTTGGCTGAGGAACAATATTGTTCCAAGAACCCACTGGGGACAGTGTCTGGAGGTGAATAAAATATTCATTGTCCGGGCAAACTCCCGAAGTCGACTAATGAATAATGGAATTTATAGACTTGAAGATGCAGACCGAGCTGAGAGGGGGTGCAGGCCAGAACCCAGAGGCCCCAACTGCTGAGATCCCTGCTCTTCTCTGGCCACCTCCTTCTGAACACTCACATGCCCGGTTCCTGAAGGTGGCAGGAGCGGAAAGGACAACAGGGAAGAGTCCATGTGAGGGAAACAGAGTGAAGGGGACAGACCCTTGAATTTGTTGCTATTTGGGGGAAGGAACTTAGTGATGGGAAAAGAGCACTGGACTCGGAGTCCAGTGTGGCTGGGATGAAGCCTGACCCCTGCTACCAGCTCTATGCCTTGAGTGTAGCCCCTGCCCTGGCCTCAGTTTGCGTCCCTGTACAATGGAGTTGCTGCCACCACACAGCTTGCTGCAGGGATCTGCTGAGGTGACAGTGCCTGGTGCTGCTGTCCGAGACTGGACCTTCTGAGCCTCCCTCTCAGGCTAAGGGCCCAGCTGCGGAGGGTGAAGCTATGGAGGGACCTAGGAGAGCTGGCCAAGGCTATCAATGAACCCATTGTCCAGACAAGGAAATCAAAGTGGAGAGGGTGTAAGCATCAAGTTCAAGGTCATGCCAGGACAGTCTCCCCTGGCTGCACTGGGTTCAGCTGGAAGGGAGGGGAGACATGTTCTCCAGAGGAAAGAAGCTCCCAGCCTCAGGGCAGGGATGATGTCAATAACTGCAAAATCCTGGCTCGCCCTGCCACACATTCAAGTCCGTGGCCCTGCATCCCCCCGAAAGGTTCTGCTTCCGTTGGTCTGGGCTGGGAGCAGAACTTTGCAGGAGTATTCTTCTAAAGCTCCTCTACATGCTTCCAGGGTACAGCCAGGGTTAGAACCAATGCTCCAGAGGGAAACTGAGTCTGGATAGGGGTGAGAGGAACCTGGGGATGTCCCGCTTAGGAAATCACAGAGATCCTGTCCCTTGTGTCCTCTGGGCCTCCATCTATGCCCAGTGCCTGGCCAGGCTGCTGGCTGGGAGGCTGCCCCAGGGATCAGAACCTTCACAGATGGGAGGGGGACCATGGGTACTGCAGGCCTAGCCCTTGCTGCCGGCCCACTTCCTGAGTGACAGCTGTGGCAGCTGGCGGGAGACAAGGCGAGAGGCAGCTCCTAATTGCTCTGGGCTCCCAGATCCCTGCCTCAGTCTGTTGCCTCTGATGAGACCAACTTGCCTGGGGCGGCTGCTGCCTGAGAAGAGGCCCCAGCTCCCGTCGGCCCGGGCATTAGCCTAAGGTGATAGGTGGAAGAAAGTCACCTCTCCTTGCCAGGTCCTGGAGCAGAA